TCTTTTTATCGGTTTTAATGTTTCTACTAGTAGATGGTTTGCATTGTATATTTTGCCGAGCTAAGTAAATGATAACGGGACGAGGGTAAGTGTGCCTTAAAAGTTCAGTGACGGACTGCCTAGGTAAGCAGTAGTCGAGAGGAGGGAGAAGATGGTCACCTTTACTATCGGTATCTGACAACGGAAAATTCAAAAAGAAAAATATCAAACAACGTGCATTTCACATATATTTATATATAAGAGGAAATTCGAGCATGGTGACAAGAAAATAAAATGCTCCAATCAGATGAAAATATCGACAAGACAAGACAATCATATGCACGCTCATGATGGAATCCTTTTGGATTCACGCGCGCTCAGGGCCAACGGCTGCGCCATACAGTACTGCCTGTCTGCCTCCCTCGTTTGACCGGCCCATGCAAATGCGATTTGCCATGGGATCAGCCTCGTTTAATTGGACTAGGTGCGGCTGGCCGGCTGCGCACAGGCCGGGGACGGATGGCGAGTGCTCGCTCCAAGACGAGGCTCGCACGCCAACGGCGAGACTCAAATGACCATCGGTCGACGGCTGAAAGATTACGACGAGCGGGACTCGCCGTCGCAAGTCAGATATGCCAAGACGACGTTCAACGGTTTCCATAGGCAAAGCCGTACGTCACCCGTCACATCCTTGGTCCACCTCCAATCCTTCGCGTCTGCCTTTTCTCCGATCCTCCTCGTCTCGTCGACGACAACAGTGCTGAAAAATTAGGCAGCTTCACGACTTTGGAGAGGATGATGTTTCACTTCCGATATATCTATTTCCATCCATTATCAATTTGTTCAAACTCGTAATGTTCTAGACCAATAAACAAATATTCTAACAGTACGAATACGGTGCCACAAAACAACGTTCAGAGAAATAATCAAAGGTGGGGAGGTGGGAGTATGATCAAGCTTGTAGATGTCTGAGGCTGATGGTTTTTGTGGCTGATAAGCCGGCTGAAGCTGATTTGTTGTGAGAGAAAAACAATATATCATGACTGATAAGCCAGCCTGATAAGTTCAAGTGAACATGGCGTAAGAAAATAGATGTTGTGTCAGTATACATGCAATGTTCGGCACGCATAAAACTTGGATACCACTTGTGTTCGCCTAACTACTGTACGATGTACATGGAGACAATCGGTTGATTGGAACGCAGAGAAAAGAGCAGGCGAGGGAGGGGCGCCCCGGGTGTCGTAGGCTGACTAGACTCGAAGATTCCGGGCTGATCGTCGGGTTCGTTCGTCTACCTGTTGGGCCGCGCCGGCCACCCGACCTCCTCGTCCAGCTTTTGCCGTTGTGCGTTCCCGCGGTCCCGCCATTTTGCCTCAACGGCATGCTTGCAGCCGCTGAACCTATTTGTGGCAGCCTGGTGACCTTATTGATCGCCCAAGATTTCTGAATAAACAACGCCTGTAACCCTGCAAGTAATAATAGGTCGACCAGGACTCCAGGCCGCACCTATGACCGATGGTTTCAAAAGCGTGGAAGATACGATGCAAAAGTGCATTGCAATTTGCAAATAGATTGCTAAGCTTTGGACTTGTGGTTTCAAGTTATGCCTAGTTCTACTACATTGCAGTCTGTCAGCCTGTTCGTTGATTAGTTTCTGGGTTAATAAGCCCGGCTAGTACTGGTTTGTTGTGAGAGGAAAACACTGTTGGCTGACTGCCCTGACTGGAACCAATAAGCGAACATGCTGTTTGACAAAACGTCCCTGTCGAGACGAAAGTCCTTAACATTGACAAATGGAACGAACTGTATTACAACAAGAAGCCTATTTCCCTCAATAAAAAGAAAACAACAACAAGAAGCCAACAGTGTTCCCAAGCTACAGCTAAAACCGGGCGGCAAATTGATTGGCCTTTTTACATGGAAGGAAAACTGCATTAGTGCACAAGAAAAGAATCACAATACTAGCCCAGTACTATCTCACCAATACTAGTACTACCAATGTGGGTATTATTGTAACAAGACCTTCCGGTTTGCTAGAAGAAATGGTGTCCTCAACAATCAGAATACTATGTGCCTTCCGCATCAGATCTTCCTCACCTGAATGTTGTGTGTTGATTGTGATCTCCAGATGGGCTGATTACCACTTTGAACGAGTGCAACCTCCTCACCATCCTTAACCATACCATGTTTCTGTGAAATGAGACATCATATTAGGATATCCATCAATAGACCCATGGTTAAACAAATGGTAACAAAAAATTACATGATACAGATATCTAAGACCCCATTATTGCTTTATTGTAAATTCATATTGTCTCGTTCTACTACCAATAGCTGCAGTGTTCTGGTCAGATTGCCAAGATAAAGATGTGATATGACCCCATCAGATATTCCAGGACCAAAAACATTTTTTAGAAATCGTTCATGGTAAACTGACAGCAGCTATAATCAAGTCGCTGTTTCGAATTTCATGCAGCCAATTGTTATCCACAAGACACAGGGCTGGTGCTCTCAGCGTGACGGTCCTTTTGGTTGTCAGATATTCAAGGTTAATTCATGCTTGGTTTTATGTTATAATCGTGGTTGGGAAAAAGTGCTGCACCTGTTGCTCCTGGCATATCTATCCCCGCTTTGTTTATAAATTATCGGTTTGGCTGGCCTCTCTACCCTTGAATGATCATGTTTTCTGATGTGACCATGTTGTCATGTTGAACATCAAGGTGCCAAAGCCACAACATGCATTGTTAGTCCTAGTTATGACCGTTGCTAAACCAACTTTAAAGGTTACAATGCTAAGTTCAATTGTGAGGCTGTTCTTGACGTTAATATATTATATGGATATCTGATGCTAACATAACAATTTGATAAAAAATTGAGATCACAGGTATAGCAAATTAAACTTGTCCTTAATCATACATTCAGTAATAATTAAAGTGGTGCCAAAAAAATGCAAAGGATAGATTGTAGAAGTTGTTACCAGCAAATAAGACAAAGCGTTGCCAAATGTCTTCTCAGCATCATCGGAAAATTCCATTTCAATTGGACATACACCTTGGTACAAAGCTAATCGTTGCCTAACTCTCTCCCTATAATAATACAACAATTATTTGCTAGATATGCATGGAATTGTAAAAGAAAAATGAACAAAAAAAATATGATATGTTTCAGATCAGTTGCCCTTGTCACTGCAACAAGTGTATGTCACTTCTTTTCCTAGGGCATGCTAACAGTGGATATTTTACAGATTACTACTGTTGGTAGAGCCTGCAGCTGAGAGGTTGCCACCTGGGTGACCACAGATTATGTGAGTGCCTCTGTAAAGGGTTCAGTAGCCCCACTTCAGGCTGGGCATTCGGTTTTAACCGACCATTCGATTCCGTTTTTCGGTTCCTTAAAAGTTCGGTATCCCAAGAGACAGCAGCCGTTCGGTTTTCCACAGAACTGGAAACCGACAACTACGGTGTCAGTTTTTTACTTCGATTTTTCTGTTTAAACCGAAAAAAACGAATCTGCCACTACCTTACTCGTGCCGACGCCGGCCATCGCGTGCTCACGCCCTGCTCGTACTCGCGCGTGCCGCCGCCGCCACGCCCTACTCGCGCTCGCCCGTGCCACGGCCGCTGCGCCCTGCTCGCGCTCAAGTGGGCCGCTGCCTGCTCACTCTCGCCGCCATGCCGGGCACCACCGTCGGGCCGCCACCGCCACCGCCGCCGCTTGTGGAGATGCCGCCGCCGCCGCCTCACCTGGACAGGTCAGGGTGCTGGTGCGACTGCGGACTGTGAGTCCTACCGATGCCGAGTGCAGAGTCGAGTTGCTGTGGGGGTGGGCCGTGTGGGTGGGTTGGGGAGATGAGGCGCGGGTGTTGTTGTGTTGGGCCGTGGTGGGCTCTCCGCCTGAGGAGTCAAGTGGCTGGGGACGCTGTGCTGTTTCTGGCATTTCTGCAGACGTGATTCACTTCGGTCTATACGGTTTCCCGGTTCGGTTTGCATAGAAAACCGAAGCCGAAGCCGAGCACCGAATTTGTGAAACGCAGAAACCGAACCCGCAACCGAAAACCGAATAGACCGACAATTCAGTTCGGTTCATGGTGTAAAAGTGCCCAACCGGAGCCCCACTCTTAAGGCAGAACCAGGGATCTTCATCCTGAGGTCGAGATTTTTGGTTGACTATGTATTTTTCAAAAAAAAGTTTAATAGTAAAAAGTTCACTGACATCAAATGTTTCCTTCCATGATGAAGCGTTTAGGGCTATCTTTGTAGTTCATATTTAGTATTCAGTAGAGGGGTTTAACATAGGTAAGTTCCAGGCTTCCATTCCAGCCCCCTCACTGATTAATCACGAAAGCCAAGATCTAGAGTTCACTTTCTTGAGCCTATAACTAAAAGAACCCAAAAGGTGCTGAAGTATTTTCAGTGCAGTATTTTGGTTTCTAGAATTTGTATCTTTATGCGTGAACCAGAAGTCACATATATCATTTTGGGTGCATGGTCTCATCACTAAAATTACACTAACCAATACATGCCTCACACTTTAAAACGCTATGGTTGTTCCAAAGGTTACTAACAAACAGTTGGGTTGGACAAGCAGCCTAATTGGCTCATATTTCACAAATTATGTTATGTTATTAGGAAGCAGAAATGAATTACTAAGCATCGCATATATTATGTTTAAGTATTTAACAGTCTCACCAAGAAGGGCGGGCCTGGTGCAAGCGGTAGAGTCTTACCGCCTCTGACCGGAAGGTCCCGGGTTCGAGTCGCGGTCTCCTCGCATTGCACAGGCGAGGGTAAGGCTTGCCACTAACACCCTTCCCCAGACCCCGCACAGAGCGGGAGCTCTCTGCACTGGGTATGCCCTTTTTTTTTATTTAACAGTCTCACCAACAGGGCCATCTTCAGCACAATTAAATAAAAGACGCACTTAGGAGACATTTTATTGATAAGTCATGATCATGGGATATATAGAAAGGATTGCATAAAAGTTGTCTTGTAGCACCCACTGGCACAAAAGGAACAGAAAACTTACTCATCTGTGAAGGCAAAAATAGTGCCGGATGGACGGTAGTGACTAAGCAGTATAGCCATAAATCCTGTCCTGGTGAAAACCACTATTGATGTTCGAAGGGTATTTGACATCATTGTTGCATGGTACGCGAACATTTCGCTCATGTGGTTCTACAGAAAGAGATATGGTAAGAAAACGGAAAAGGAAGAGCAGCATAATGGAAAAAGACTGAAGAAGTGAAGGTGGCAAACCTTGAAAGCCTGACCAAGGTCTGCAGGTGATTCCCCACCAGGAATAGTTGCCTCAGTTCTCAGGGCAACAGTGTGCATGACCTTAACAGCTTTCAAGGGAAATCTGTCACAAAATTAACTCATAAGGTTATCATCATATATCTGCCATGATCTTCAACATATATCAGGGGGAGGGAAACACACCAGAAGACTTGCAAATATATGCATACAATCCAAAACAAGGCAATGGATTTTTTAACTATAAAACTACAAAAAGTATTAGAGATCTGTTACAGTGCTTGGGAGGAACCTCCGGTTCCTCCTAGCAGGTTTATTTCCAGCCGTTGATCATTAACGAAAGATAATTATTGTAATCAGGGGTACTCTAGTACTTTTACCTAGCTCATCATTAACTCTAATTTAGACCGATCAAATGCTAGGGTATTTCTGCCGCCTGCATCGACGCACCTCGATTGCCAGAATCTGAGAGCTTTAGGGATGATGGTCTGGGGCAGTTCCATGCCATTGGAAGAGCCTGCGAGGCCGCTGAAGACCAAGATGATAAATTCCAATGCAACTGGAAGCAGGAAGCTGATCGACGAACGGCCACATGCTACTTCAACAAGGGGTCAAGGGCTACGCCTACGCGGCGGCTGCGGGCGCGTTGAATGCCTCGGCGCGTCCGTGTTCGAAGGTTCGGCAACGGCACGGCATCCAGCGGCTCCCCGCACGCGCGTGGCGGCCTATCGCGTATGTTTCCCTCCCGTGAACGGCAACGAGTGTTTCGACACGGACATGGTGTTCGATGCCGCCATCCACGACGGCATGCATGTGCTGTCGCTCTCCCTCGGCGGCGATCAACAAAAGGAGCAAAGCCTAGGCAGGCAGCGACAGAGCATCGTCACCGGCGGCGTCGATTCGTTGGCTGCCGCCGCTTCCTGATAGACGGCGACGGATCTCGAATCGTTGGAGTATGCATTTGTGGCTCGCGGGGTTGTGCGGGCAGGGAGCAGCGAGAAGAAACCCCTCACATAAAGTACTATTCTACCCTTCAAAATTAATTTAGAGCTGGTTCTTGGCCCACTAAATTTTGGTTCCAGCCCACCACTTAAGTTCCTCTTAGTAGGTCCTCCTCTTTCTTAACCATCTGATCTAGCCAAACGAATTGCTCTCATTATTTCCAAGCGCTGTAAAATTTCTCAAAGTATTAACATATATGTTTGCAACAATGTGATTCTAGCAGCTATTATAAAGTATGTTATTCTTTGAATAATTGAGACCAACCAGGCAGTCCATTGTTATTTAGTTCAATAAAACTTCCGAAGGAAACGGAAAGAAATAGATGCCGTATAGATGTTAGATTCCTGATTTGATACACTGAAAATATAGTTAAACAGTAAATTCCCTTTCCATAGAAGGAAACATAAGGGGGCAGCAATTCCATCCATAACATTATTTTTCATGTATTAATTCATACTGTCACTTATGATATATCTGGAACTTTTGAAGAATGCAGTCACCAAATAATAATAATAATATAGCAGTGCAAAAGAGCATACTAAAACAAACTAATTGTACATGGAAAACAAAAAAACATATATGATAATATATATATAAATGTAATGTCATATCTGGCCATATAGTGAGGGCAGCTCCAACAATGACATCTCAGCTAGCTCATAGAGATCCACCTCATCATTTTGCTTACATGGAAGAGAGAAAAGCTACTCCCTCTGTTCCAAATTATAAGACATTTTGGCTTTTCTAGATACATTGCTTTTGTTATGTATCTAGACATAGTGTATATCTAAATGCATAGCAAAAACTACGTATATAGAAAAGCCAAAACATCTTATAATTTGGAATGGAGGGAGTACCTTTTAGTTCCCAGCTAGGCTCAGACAAAGTACGAGGCCGTTACTGGGGGGCACCGTGAGGGTGGATGGGGAAAAGAAAGGATGTGGGACCAGCGGTAAGGTGTTAAGAGTTGGATTATTGGAGAGCTTGTAATGATGTGGCAAGTTATGAGCTGGCTTGCTAGCTTAATTGTTGGAGCCACCCTTAGCTAACAACTAAAACATCAATTTCTTTTGAACAAAAAGCAAAACATGTGACATACTTCCCATGTGCAGTTTCTCCAGAAAGCATGACTGCATCAGCACCCTCTCGGACAGCTATAGCAATGTCTGAAACTTCTGCTCGGGTTGGAGTTGGATGAACAATCATACTTTCCAGCATATTTGTAGCGACAATAACAGCCTTCCCCATGCTCCTGCACATTCTAATAATTTCTTCCTGCATGAAGGAACATGATATTTGAGGAAGATGTAAATGTCAGACACCTTTATCGGCAAAGAAAAAGATATTTTTTTTACTGATGGCTCATAGTAAGCACTAGGCACAGCAGATTTCAAATGGGACTGCAACATATAGGCCATATTCCTATGTACAAACAATAAAGTAACTCAAAATAATCCAATAGAATAGGCATATATATATGTACGTTTTAGCTTTGCAGTGCAATAACTTATAAGAAATAATGATCAGCGACATCACACCTGCAACAGCGGCACCTCCTCGATGGGCAGTTCAGCTCCAAGGTCACCCCTGGCAACCATAGCCTATGTTCAATATTAAATTAGTCCGTGGTGAAATCTATAGGTCTACCCTTAAACTAAAGTCAGAATGAGGATAACAGATACTAAAAGGGATATTCATGATTCACGATTTCCCATACAACTCAAGACCATTCATGCAAAGATAAACCTTTTGATGGCATTTCACTAGACCAAAGCATAATTAGGATAAGATATTATTTTACCCCGTCAGATGCTGTGATGATTGAATGTAGGTTTGGGATGGAGTCTGCACTTTCGATTTTTACAATTACATGTATGTCAGCATTGCAACCTGAGAATAAAATAGAATAGAATGAGCTCAATAAATTATCAAAAAGGTGCATGATATGATTTTTTACAAAGTTGGATTGAAGATTACTTCTTAGATAATCCTTGAGTTCATGGACAACTTGAGCATCTTTCACAAAAGAAACAGCATAGTAATCGACCTGATTATCCACACCAAACTTAATGTCGTCCCAATCCTTGTCTGTACATTTGAAACATGTATGAAACAAGGACATATAGATTAGATCCAGTAGACAGAGAAAAAAGTTGCTAACTATTACCAGTTATTGATGGCAAGGTTGCACTCTTTCCACGAACATTCAGATGGCGCCTAGATTTCAATTCACCACCGTCAATAACTTCACATTTCACAGAATCTTCAGTTTTTGATTTGACCAAGAATGACATCATTCCTCCTAAAAATTGATAACAGAAGAACAATCATTGATCACCAAAGATACATTTGACAAGAGTCAAGACTGAACAGGACGTTAAGACAGATATCTGACATCCAACATAATTGAAGGAGTAACCAATTATGCACAACAAAGTAAGAAGAAAACTGATGTTCGTGAATTTCATCTCATTAAATTTAGTGCACTACTCCCTCACAGTAACGTTGTACACCCTCCTAACAATTTTCGTGTACAGAATAGAGTCAAGCATGTTTCAAACAATGAGTCAGAAAATTCATACACATTTAATGAAGAAATTGTGCTATTAAATTTCCAAAAGCTCTAGGGAAGCACCATTTGATTGTAAGTGAGTAAACTAAAGGATATCATTATGATGAGAAAATCTAGGGAACTTTACTGAAAGTATTGACATAATTTTACAAGTTCAACCATGTAAAACTTAGTACTGGGACTATTTTAGATAAAGTGATTATTAATCCTATTTGTGTATTCAGGTTTCAGAGACAATTGTGAAATCATGTGGAACTCGGCAGAAAGAGAGTTAAAACATAGAATAACAGAGAAGGAAAAAGTCTATATAACCCCCTGATCTATTGTTGTCGGTCTACTTCACCCCCTAACCTACAAAACCAGGTATTCTCCTCATCAAAACCATTCCCTGTAGGTGGTTTCGCCTCTTGGGTACATAAGGGCCCACATGTCATCAGTACCATAGTTTTTATGGTAAATAGTGCTCGTGAAAGGCTAAACGTATGGGGTTATCTTTGTAAAACGATCAGGCTTTTTTTTTAGAATTACACAATACAATGTAGATGCTCACAACGCACGTACACTCACCCCATCAGGCTTGGCTGGATTGAATGCATCAAAAGGTTTTAGGGGTCATTCATAAAAACACCCATAAAAACCATAATTATTGCACTATGATATGGGGGTCTATGTGTAAAACGGCCAAGACAGTACTGTAATTGCACTGATGTACACGAATGTCCAATGGCACTTGATCCTTCGCGGAGGCGCAGCTCGGCAATGAACGGCACAAGCAACCCGAGGCAGCAGTGGCGGCAAGCCGTGAGGAGCGGCTCACAATGCTGTAGGTGGTGGCACACGGCGGCGATAGCGCGCGGGCACGAGACAACACTTGCTCCTTGGGTGAGTTCGTCGATGAGGGTGCGTGGTGACCAGTTGGACAGAGGGGCATGAGGAAAGGGATGGCCGAAGGTTGAAGGAAATGCTAACGGGTGGGCACATGCCACAGTGTCTCTTCATGTGGGCCCTAGTTGTGCAGCAAGACAAAACCCCAAATTGAAACCGCCTAGGGGTTAGATTAAGCGGTTCTGGATAGATGAGGGAGTAGAATACCTAGTTATGTAGGTCAGGAGTTAAAGTAGACCAAAACATTAATAGTTCAGGGGGTTATAGAGACTTGTTTCCTAACAGAAAAGGAATGTAATATCAGCATACCATCTACAAGGAGCATGTCGCCAACTTCAACATCATTAACAAAGTCATCATAGTTAACGCTAACACATGTATCAGTCCCAACTCCCCTTTTGATTGTAAAAGTGAATTCTTGCCCGATTTCCAGAAATATCGGTTGAGGCAAATCTCCACTTCGAACTTCTGGTCCCTGAATTGTAAATCAAGGCAATATATGATTAACGAAATGCAAAATAAGAAATGTCTAATTCTATTTATCACTAATATAGTGAATCAAACTGCTAACACGGCATAAAGAACAAAGAATAATGCAGGAAAGCAACTTTTTAATTTTTTTCCTTTTCTTCTTCTTTTTGAGACCATAGGAAAGTAGCCTCTAAGGATGAGAACTATCCCTCTTTTGTGATCTAATGTAGATACTCTGGAAGAAGTAATACTAACCTTTGTGTCAAGCATGATAGCAATCACATTGTCAGCATGTGATGCATTATACTCCTTCACCAGATCAATAACATTCTGGTGTGATGCATGGTCTCCATGTGACATATTAAGCCGAGCCACATTCATGCCAGCCTCAGCGAGTTTCCATATCATCTCCCTTGTGTTAGTTGAAGGGCCGATTGTACACACGATCTTTGTCTTGCGCCTTACATTTGGTTTAGACCACACACCATTTGCTGCAGTTGCAAGCTGCTGGATAGCCTTAAGGTGCTGGAAGTTTGCTTCCTCCTGTCAAAGAAAACATATTACTGGCAACAGATTTTCAAATTTCAAGTCATACAGGCGGAATTCCAAAGGTACCTCACCACTAATCTATGTACTAAGATGCAACACTTGGAAACACCTCCCTTCTTGGCAAAGGTTTCATAACTAATTCAACGATGTTGGTGCCACTTTGGCAAACAGGAAAACAAATGATAGATCCACTAAGTATATAAGTTGCAGCAATTTATAAGGACATGGCAAGTTACCAGGGTTGCACTGTAATTAGTACTTTACATTGTGTGGTCTTGTTACTTAACAAAAACAAACGGTAACAGCTTTAGATGTCAAAAGGTTCAGTAGGGATGCATGCACATGGAATAGTGAAAGCAAATTAGACGCTAAAGTTTAATTGATTTCATGCGCATATATATATTGATGCCCAGTGATAATGACATCCCTGGACGATTCCGCCCTCCAAAATTCACCGTCACAAGCACGAAGACGATCTCACAAATCAATTTCACCGTCAGGGAAAAACAATCTTCACGCCCAATCAGCCCGACGGTAACCTGAAGCGGTCAAAATCCCGTCCCGTCCCAAATCCATTCCACCGGGATGCGGAGCTCCCCGGCCAGTGTCCATCAGCTCGCGGCAGCAGTCCAATGAATCAGTACGAGGAGGCTGGTCACGCTACCTTTACGGCCGCGTCGTCGTCGGGCGACACCGGCAGCACCACGGCCTCGGGGCGCGGGGCGCGGCTTATGACGGATACCGCCTGGGACTCGCGGCGTCCCCTCGCGGCCACAGCGCCGCTCCACCTCTCCCTTGGCATCCTCGCCCCGCCACGAGGCGCGTCGGGCCCAGATCCGCCGGCCAGCGGCCTGGCCACCGCGGTGCCCGCCGCTGCCACCAACTGCGCCGCCATCCTCGGGCCGGTCGAGAGATTTGGACTTGGAATTGGTAGTGCGGAGGGTGGCGGCTGGCTGGGGGTGGTGAGGCGTGGCGTGCGTGCGCGGTGCCGGGATGGGTTTAACGAAGGAGAACCAGGGTGGCTGGCTGGTTGGATGACTGCTGATGCGGCGGCCTTGTTTGTATCGAAATGCAGGTGGCCAGGTAGGGGACAGGGGGAGGGGACGAGCCGTCCAGGTCGCGGGGCCCGTGCGGCAGCAACGGGCAACGGCTGAGCTGGCGGCGACTCGTCGTGCTAGGCTGCCTCGGCGCAGCCAGTGACACATGCAACAACAGTGCTGCTCAACCAGTCAATCTCGAGTCTCCCGGCCTGCTCGCTGATGGGTTTCTGGACTGCTTTGGATTGGTTCTTACTAGTTTATTGTGAGAGAAAAACACTATTGGCTGGCTGGTTTGGACTGGCTGAAACCAACAAACGAACAGGATGTCCGTCTCCGCCGTGGCTTTTGGCTTGGCGGCGCTTTTTTTTTAAAGATATTACCAGAGGGGTGAGAGATCCACGTGAATAATAGCAAGCCGGTGATGGAGGATGACAGGGGCTCAGCTGTTCGACTGGTATTAAAGCTGGCTAAAACAGTTTTATTGTGAGAGAAAAATACTGTAGATTCTAGCTGATAATTTCAAGCGAACAGACCCGAGGTGATGGTAGGTTTCTGGCGCTTGAGCGCAGAGTTCACAAGTGTCATCGGCCCTGTTGGTTTCGCTGAAATTTAGCTTATGCTGATTTGTTGTGAGAGAAAAACATTCTTCGATCGCTGAAAGTACTGCTGAAATAGTTCGGGATACGTTTCTCGTAGAGGTTGAGCTTGGACCGGATGCGTTCATGCAGCAGCAGCAGCAGCAGCCAAACCAAAGAACTTGACGCGTGGGGGGTGCGCGGCTCTTCGAGACGAAGGCGAAAATCTTGCTGCGGTTGCCTGAGGTGGTGGAGCGGTATAGGCGCCCGGAGTCCAATCTGCCGTCGACGCCGGCGAACTTGCTGGCTCGCACGTCTCCTTGTTCACGAGGCGGAGCACGGAGCCGTTCGTGAGTCGTGACTTTGAAGGCGGTGGTACGAGACACGATCAGGCGACTATGTTTTGCTTTTATATATCTGGACCAGCCAACACGGCAGGTTAATGTAATTTTGAGGTCCCATCACGGTGATGTTAAGCGAAAGGAAATCAAAGGCCTAATTACGTTTCGTTGGCGACGGTGATGGGGATGTGGCGGCGGGAGCTCCATGTTGATACGACACAAAAAGTCAGATTCACAGCCCATGCGGTGTGCTAGTGTGCGCTTCGGCAAAACACGTTTTCAAAAGTCGCGGGGACGAAAAAGTCAAGAAACTGATCGCAGATGTAATGGAATTCTGATGCAGGCCTGCACCGCATGCAATACGCATGGACGTCGGGCGTGTCTGATTCTTCCATCGTGCCAGAACTACTAGTAGCACTGTAGCAGCTCGGAGGCACAAGGTTCGTCGTTTCTTCCATCGTGCCAGAACTACTAGTAGTACAAACAAGCGGCTCCGAGGAAGACTAGAATGTCACAAGTGTTCCATCATGAGGGCTAGGCAGCTACAGTATCTATGATTTAGCCAGATTCGTTCGTGCTTGGGGCTATCAATTGGTAGAGTCTTTGTTGAATAAATAGATTTCTATATTTGTCTTAAGTTAAACTTTTTAAGCTCTGATCCAACTTCTAAAAAAAAACCGTCAAAATTTATTCTGTCTAGACCAAGGAATGGGTCTGAGAACAATTTTTTTTCCGTACTCACTTAGTCTCAAAATAATTGCATGTCTCGCTTCTCGAGGAGTCAAATTTTTTTTAAGTTTAACTCCAAATATAGAAAACATTATCAACATTTATATCTCTAAATAAGTTTATTATGAAAGTATACTTCATGCTAAATCTATTGATATTGTTATACATCATAAATGTTAATATGTTTTTATATAAATTTGGTCAAACTTTGAAAAAATTAACCTTTCGGTAAGCAAGTTGTGCATTTATTATGGGAGAGGGAGTAAATATACCATAGTCTGTTGATAATGATTAACGGGAGGGACATACCATTCGGTGAAGGCAAGGTCCAAATATCAGAAGTTCAGCTATAACAAAGAGGGCAGAGGAGAGTTTTTTTTAGGCACCGAAGTTATGTTATAAAAAGAATAGTTGGGTTCAACAATCAACAGTAATTTTTTTTTTTGCAGGCACCGAAGTTTTGTTATAAAAACAACGGATGGGACAGGAGTTCTTTTTTCAGCATCAAAGTTCTATTGTAACAAAGGATGTAAAAAGGAGGAGAATTTTTTGCATGCACCGCTGAAAGGTCCTTGTTTAGTTTTGGTAATTGAGTGACAACTTAGGTGAACTAATTGTGTTTATGTGAGATACACAGGTAATTAGTCCACAGGTACATGTGTGTGAGCAACATATGACATGAAGGTAAAAATAGCTTCGAGATGTTGCAAAGCTCACACATGTGATGATGAAGGAGCTTATTGCACGTGAGACATGACATTAAGTCATGTGATCAAGGTGGAGAAGATCAAGACAAGACTTGGCTTGATGGACCGGTTATAAGCGTGAAGGGCAAGTCGGAGGCTTTGGAGTGATGGACCGTGTGGCGGTGAAGCTTGAGCCTGACTTGGCGCCGATGGACGATGGCAACGGTGAAGAGCAAGTGAAGTCAAGATCGATGAACCAATATGATCACGTGATGATATGAAGTGGATCATATCATTGTTGATCGTGTTGGTGCATGTGTTGCATCGACGTTGGAGAAGATGGAATGGAATGCGCAAGGCAAAGGTATAACCTAGGGCATTTCATTTCACCGGTCATAGGTATGTAGAGAAGTTTATGACCGGGTTTAGGATAGATGACCGTACTATCAAGAGGGGCAAACTTGTTTGCATATCGGTCATCTAGTGCCACTCGAATGATCTAACTTTACATCGTCGCTAGGATCGAGTGCGCGTGGCAAGTTGAGTGGCTAATCCTTTGAAAAATGATTGTGAAATTGCTAACACACATACACATGGTGGTGTACACTTGGTGGGGTTGGCACATTTATAAAGGAGATGAAGTTGGAGTTGATGTGGATCAACTTGGTGAAGAAATGGAGGCGAAAGGAGAAACTCCACCGGCGGAGTGTCTGCCCATAGAGTGCGGACAGTCCGACGGTGCCACCGGCGCCCTAGATAAAAAAAGACAGGGTCTCACAGAGTGGACCGGACGCTGGTCACGTAGTGACCGGACGCTGGGGTCCTACTTCCGGTCAGAGCTGACGTATGGTGACGTAGGCAGAGCAGAAGCTGAAGAGTGACCGGACGCTGGTGCTGTGTCCGATCGCGATCGACCGGACACGTCCGGTCGTGAAATGTCGTTTCTGAAACCTTACTGGAAACGACCGGACGTTGGAGGCTCAGCGTCCGGTCAGTTGAAGCTGTTGCGTCCGGTCGTCAGATGACCGTTGAGATCGGAAGAACAGCGTTTGAAGGAGGGGACACGTGACGAGTATCACGTGACCGGACGCTGAGGTCCAGCGTCTGGTTGATCGGACCGGAGCGTCCGGTCGTCTCGACATTTGCCTAGTGAAGGGGTAACGGCTCTATTTGTCCATGGGGCTATAAATAGAAGTGGCTCTCGGCCATGGCGAGAGTTGAGCACCTGAGGGGACTTAGTGTCCATGCTTGTGAGTGCTTGGTAGCCCTCCATCATACATATACTTGATAGTGATCATTCGATTATGTGAGTGAGCGATTCTAGTGCGATTGCATCGTGAGGTTGCATCGAGTGACACTAGGTGATCGAGTTGCAAGCCGGTGGTGCTTGTTACTCTTGGAGGTTGCCACCTCCTAGACGGCTTGGTGGTGGTCTCCGTCGAAGCCCGCAAGAAGCTTGTGCGGGGCTCCGGAGAAGAGCTTTGTGAGGGGCATTGTGCTCGCCCCGCGGGAGCCTCGAAGAGCAACTTTAGTAAAGCGTGTCATTGAGCTACCCTCACTCAAGGGGTAGGTTCTTGCGGCGTCCGACGTGCGGGCTTAGCGGGTGATGCTAATTAGCTGCCGAACCACCAAGTGAGCGGTCGACACAACGGGGACTAGCGTGTTGGCAAACACGTGAACCTCGGGAGAAAAATCATCGTGTCAACCCGTTGGTTTGCTTCCCCATTACACAAGCTTGCATTTACTTTCATATATATTAAGCTTGTGTAGTTGCTCTTGTAATTAGTTTGCTTGTGTAGCATATTAGTTACCTTCTTGTTTGTGTAGCATAGAAGTAGCTCCCTTGCGTGGCTAATTTGGTTTGAGTAACCTTGTTAGTCACATTGCTTAGTTTGTATAGCTAAGTATTTGCGCTCTCTAATTTAGCATTGGTTGCCTTGTTATTGAGCATTGCTAGTGAGCTTAGGTGGCTTTGTGCTTTTGCTTACTAGCATGTGTAGGAGCTCCCTTGTAGCTTAAAGTACTAGTGGCATAGGTTTGTGTGACCTTGCTCCTAGAATTGCTTAGGTGAGCTCTAGCTAGCCCGGCACCTTAATTGCTTAATTAGTATATTTGAAAGGTGCAAAAGAACATAGATAGAGGGGTGTAGTCTTGGCTAGACCGATAGTTTTAATTCCACACTTGTTTCGGTTAGCCGACGCGATTAAGTTTTAAAAAGGACTATTCACCCCCCTCTAGTCGCCATCTCGACCTTTCAACCGCTCAAAAGATGGCAGATCTGTTATAACAAAGGATAGAAAATGGTACTGATCAAAAGCTGGTAGGTCGCAAGATTGATGAAGTCACACCATTGAATGAACAGCACCATTGAAAACCCTAGTTTGATTTTGATAATTGATAAAACCTATTTGGACTAATCATTGCATCTAAGTGTATGACTAGATATGATGGTCCAATCCAAGTGAAGAAGCGAGGTGGCACTTGAAAGCATCTAGGCCCCTAATTGGGTTTCGGTGATTAATGA